CTGTGTCATAGGTGCAGGGCAGGTGATGATACTAATGGGAGTCAGAACAGGGTCATTAGGTCACCAAGAACATGAGGAGGCCCACGTATGCCTACATGAGTGCTCCTAAGGGGTTCCCTGTGACCCACATCGCCTTCACTTCCTGCTGCCTTTGCTGCCCACCATGGTCTGATGCAACAGCAGTGAGCACAGGCACCATCTTAACCACAGAAAGCAGCAACTGAGAAGATCGCTCTTGAGGCTCCATGGCCCTGAACAAGGCAGAGCTGATCAGCACAAACTGCTGGGCCCAATGGTGACTCTCTGTTGCTGTCTTCCCTCTTGGTGAGATTTATTTATTTTATTGTATTGCATGAATGTTTTTCCTACATGTATGTATGTATGTGCACCATGTGTATGCCCGGTGCTTGTGGAGGTCAGAAGAGGGCGCCAGATACCCTGGAACTAGATATGGATGGTTTTGAGCTTCATGTAGGCTCTGGGAATTGAACCCCAGTCTTCTGCAAGATCTCTTACCTACTGAGCCACCTGTCCAGTCTGTCTTCCCTCTCACTGGATCTATTTCCATCCATCTAGTCACCCAGCCAATACGTATTCAGCACTGCTCTGGGAGCTGAGACTCCAGGAGAGTGAAGCCTTTTTAGGGGTGGAGGGAATGAGTTACTGTGACAGACACGCGGTGTCTGAGGGTGACTGCTGGTGATTCAAAGGCAGGAGTGTGGGAAAGGGGTACCTCATCAGTGTAAGTGGGGTGACCTGGGAGGTCCTTGATAATAGCACGGCAATGTAGAAGACCTGGTCAGGAACAGGCCAGCGTTTCCCAGCCTTGTACTGTGGACATCAGGGAATGGGTGTCCTATGTGGTGTGGATGATTCTCCTGCCCGCTGTAGATTGTTGAACATTATCTCTGATTTCAACAGCACCCACAGCCCTGCCACATACACACACATGCACACAGTGAGGATAGCCCGCAGAGCTATCCTGGGGAAATCGGCATGCTCCATCATGAAAATGAGGTTCTGCAGGGAGCCAGTGTTGGTCCTGGAATATTAGCCTGCATGAGCACTAGTGCCCATCTCTTACTGGACAAGTCAGTTCCCCTTCCCCTCCCTGCTTCTTTCCTTCCTCCTGTTTGTTCTCCCCTTTCCTGCCTCCTCTCTTCCTATTTCCTGGCAGTGTCACTATGTAGCCCAGGCTAGCCTCAAACTCTTTATCCTCATGCCTTACCTTCTCAAGTGTTGGCTTTAGAGGCATGCCCCACATGCCTGGCACTAGGCTAACTTCTGAGGAGTAAACACCCAAAGGCAAGATTGCTGAGTCTCAGCTAGGTGCGCATTTGGCATTAGTTCTCCAAAGCAAGTACACCTCCTCCGCAGAGGTGGAGGAAAGGCAGGAACAGGACCAGAGAGCAGCTGCAAGGCTGTGGGGTCCCAGGGGAGAGCTAGAGAGGAGCTGGGCTTGGAGTGCAGCTGGGTTTGAGTGGCGTGTGGCTTTCTTCCTGGGGCCCTGGAACAGATGCCAGAATGTGCTGCTTAAAGTGACAATGGTTCAGGCACCAACGCTCAAGGACCTAAAGATGCAGAGTCAATGCAGGAGACCCGATCACTGAGGCTTCAGGGAGGAACCCTCCCTTGCTCTTCCAGCTTTCAGTGTTAAAGTTCTTGGTGTCCCTTGGCAATAGCTGTGCGACTCTTACCTGCGCGTGCCTTCCTTGTGTACCCTCTTCTCCTAAGAACGCCAGGCACCGCATTCAGGATCCCTAAACTTCATCTCCACTCACTATCTGCAGAGTGCATTGGAAAGTCTGGCAGACCTGCAGTTTAGAGCAACACTGAAGGACCCGCTCTCAGAATGTGAGAGGCGGGGCAAAGGGAGTGGCTGAGGCTCTGCTGTGATGGGAAAAGAGGCAGGGAGACTCCACATGACTGGAGTTTTACTGACTGAGGAACCTTGTCATGGCAGGGGAGGCTACAGGCAGGGGAGCATGGCTGTGAGCTCTGTTTGAGCAGAACCAGCTTGAGAGAGTTGCTCAGACCTCCATGGGGAGCATCTGTGCTGGTGCGCAGTGTGTAGACCTTGGGTGACACTGTCCAGGGAGAATACACCCAGACTGGCCCATGTCATCACAGGGCTTCACAACACTCAGGGAAAGAGCAGGCCGCATTCCCAGGCCCAGCCTTTGTGCTGCAGGGTAAATCTCAGCAAACTGGGCAGTCGCCTGTTTGTCTCACCTACCTGCTGCTGAGCAAGACAGAGATGCCTGTAGGACCCAGAGGATGAAGACAGTGTTGTAAAAACCAGCACCAGGAAATGTTAGCTCTGTGTCCATCTTGGTTTTGCTTTCTAGAAGGGCTGAGCACCCTCCAGAGAGACCTTCCTGAAGAGCACCCAGCAGTGCTGAAGAACCCAGGGTGGCAACCTTGACCTGCCGGAAGCTCCTCCTCTCAGGGTAAACTGAAGTATCATGGGTAAAAATTCCGGGCCTACCCCAGGATTTACAGTCATATGAATGGGGACATTGACACCAAGAGGTTGAAAAGGCTTTGCTCTTGGGAAGCATAGCTTAGAGAGGCAGAGGCTCTGATGTCATCGTCATGGGCAGCTGTGTAGAGAAAGAAGGATGACTGTGTCTTTTTAACTAAGTGAAAAGAAGCAAAGGGGGAGCCGATGTGAGGGGTTGGGGGTCCCTGTGCCATCCTTAACCTCTAGAAGAGAAATGGCAGCAATGGAGCTGCATAAGTAGGTAACCCTCAAAGGCAAGTTCATGCTATGGGGTTCAGAGAGACTGCTGGGAGAGACTTCAGAGCACCTGTCCTCAAGGCTCAGGGGACAGGAGGCAGAGAGACTGTAAGAGCTGGGAGGTGATGGAGGACTTTAAGGAAACGAGTCTTCCAGACTCCACAGGGTTGACAAGCATGAGCTCACAGACTGTGGCAGCATGCACAGGGCTGCATGCACGGGGTTGCATGCACGGGGTTGCACGGGTCCAAGCCAGATAAGGCCCCAGTACTGAGAGGGGGATGTGGACACAGGCTCCCAGCCCTAACCAAGAAGCTATCCACAACTGATGTCTGCTGGCAAAGGAAAAGCCATTTATTCCAATGGAGTCTCACTGGGTCTATGAGCCACATCCCAGGGCAGGTCTACACCCAGTGGATGGATAACCAACACAGAATAACTCACTGGTATTTCTGAAGACTTTCTGTCTCGTTTTGCTTTGTTTGGCCATTTGTGTGTGTGTCGATTGGTCTTTCATTTATTTGATTTTCGTTTTTGTGAGGTTATTTGGGTGTGTGTCTCTTGTTTCTGTTTTAGGGGGTGAAGGAACATAAGGATAGGTGGGTAATGGGGTGGGAGGATCTCGGAGTGATTGAGGAAGGGGAAAATAATCAAAATATATGAAAAATATTGTTTTTCAATAAAAAGTTTAAAATAGGAGGCTGCTGTGGAGGGAATGGTGGTAGCCTGGAGGGCCAAAGAAGGTTCATCTTCAAAAATGACCTTGAAGTTAGACCTGACAGGTGGATGAATGGGGCACAGAAAGCAGGATGAACCGGCGCATGCTGAGGGCCTGAGTTAGATAAAGACACGACATGCGTGGGGCCAAGAACAGGAGGCTGAAGGCAAAGGGAGTGAGGTGAGAAAGACACAAGGCGAACTGGAAAAGCAGTGTCAAAGCACAGCCTTGAAATAGTGCAGAAGGGATTGGCAGACATGGGGACGGGCACAGTGCTCCACAGAGCACCTGGCGGAGGTCTGCCCTGGATTCCTAAGGTCTACAAATCTGCAGCATGGGATACTTAGGTTCCTGCTCCTCTGCTGATATGGCCCCAGCCCAGGAGAGGGTGCTGGGAAGGCCAGGTCTAGACTTCAGGAGCAGTTGCTCTAAGGGGCACACGACTGGTTGTAACAAGTCTTCTATGGGTGGTGATGCTATTCAGGGCCTGTAGGTTCCAAAGTGGGTCCTCCAAAATGGCAGTACTGGTGACAATGCCCTAAACAGAAGGGATGTTAGTGGATACACAGAAGCCTAACTCCAGTATTCCTCAGGAGTCTCCAGGGCAATTACCTCAGGCAAGGGCATCTGGTTCCTGCCTGTGTAACATCCAAGGTTCCCATCCTGCAAGCTAGCATAAAGTCCACTGAATTTTCCACCATTTGCTTCTCTCTGCTCCCCTTCAACACACACACACACACACACACACACACACACATACACACCGCCTTGGCAGTTTGATCCCCAATAAACCTTTCTACCCACTGAGGGATCTAGTCTGGTAACTCTGCAGCACCTTAGGCTACAGAACTCACTGAGGAGCTGAAAGGGAAGAGTGTCCTGAAGACCAGGAACAGGGAACTGAAGCCACAAGGCTGACAGAGGGGAGGCCAGCAGGAGTCTGGACCAGTAGCCACCACACGCACACTTTCTCCCGGGACCATGGTGGCTCATGGACATCAGTTGCTGGTGCTTTTACCTATGGGTCGTAGGGTGGTGTGGGTTTCCCTGGCAAAGGCAATCCAGCCAGAGAAGGTCAGGCAGGGTGACCCTGGCTGCTCCTGGATTTACACATCCAAAAGCATGTATCAGCCAGACTTGCTTGCTGCCTGCTGTTACCATCCTTGGCAGTCCCTGGTTCACAGCAAACACAGGGCTGGAGTTAGAGGAACTACGTACCTTTCCCTGCCACTTCCTGACTGCGTGCATAGGAACCGGGCATGAGCTTGTGGAATTTTTTTCCTGAGTGGAATTCTTACTCTACGTTCTACTTTACCAAGATAAGTATAATATTACAAGTGACTCCCATATTTAATTCAGACAAAACTGCTGTTAGTTGAACCACATCTTGATGTCTGAAGTGTCACCTGAAGTGATAAGTGAACCTTCTAAACTTTAGAACCTAATGGCTTTCTTGTGATGTATTCATTGAATTCCTAATTGTTAGTAAAGAATCTAGACAAAGAAACCACAGAGAAGAAAGTCTTAAAAAATGCCATTTTAATCCCCTCACTGAAAAGGCTTCTCTCAATCAGATTGTAACAAAATCCACAGCTTATTCCAAAAGAAAAATTTAATACAAGAGATTTTAGAAAATTAAACATATTTGTTTAAAAATTCTATTGTGTAAACCTTAACATAAGAGGGGAGTTGGAGTTGGGGTACCACATGCTCAGGCTTCTGGGCTCCAGACAGGGCTGCAGCAGCCAGAGAACCTCTCTGGGGTGGATGGGGATGGCAAACCAGACCCTCACTCCCCTAGAGGTCCCAGCTCTTGGGTGTTCTTCCCAGATGCTCAGCAACCCTACGGGCTCCTGTGCAACCCACTGTCATGTGTCCTGTGTCCCAATTCTTCCTGGGGCTTCCCAATCCATCCTACTGATGACAAGAACCTCCATGTGGTCAAGCGGTCTCCCCTGACGGAGTGGAGTTGAGTGGGTTGCGGATGTCAGCTGAAACACGCAGTGAGCAGTGTCTACAAGACGGGAGATGGTCGTGGTGAGAAGTGAACCCGAGCCTTGACCCAGCGTCCACTGCAGTCTGCAGAGTGCATTCCACTCCCCTGCCCACTGCCTACACTTTCCTTCAGAACCATAATGGAGACTACGTCAGAGCAACAGAGAGCCAAACATTTGGCACAGAAACATTAGATAAAATATACAGTGCTACAGTTGTGCAAAGTTAGCGCAGAACCAACTGAAACAGCAAACAATTAACACTAGCTTTAATGAAATAATGCACAATATTTTGAAGAATGTCCATTACAATAGACCTTGTTCATGAGGAGGTACCTGCCTTCTGGCCACAGCGCCCCCGACCAGGAGGCAGCTCTGCAGTGGGTGGCATTGTCCCTAGTGGGAGTGTTGAACATCAGGTCTTATTGCCATGGGCACGAGGCTGCTCCTCCTTGCATGCCTCCCAGCCAGTGTAGCTGCGCAGGAACAAGGCAATATGGCTGGACTGCTCCTGGGTCATCCTGGTGACTGAAGATCTGAGCTTCTAAGTCCTCAGCAGGGCACAGTTGGGTGGGTGTATGCAAGTGAAGGGTGCCAAAGGGATGGAGTCTGGTGGTAGACCTGCGAGACCAGGGCCCAGCCTCTCCTTAGGGGCCAGTTATATTAACACAACAGCTGTGTCTTACACAGATGGAGCTGCTGTAGATGGCACAGGAGCCGAGGCCTGGAACACTGTGACTTGGGCCTCAGGACACATGAACTGTTCTAAGAACGAAGTTTTAGCAGCCACAAGGATGCCAAGGCCACAGCCAGGCTCAGGGTTGGGAAACAGTCTCCTGAAGAGGTGGCATTGTGTCAGACCCACTGGGTGGCCATGGTCCTACATTCCTCTCTAGACTTTGGGCCTCAGATCTAGGAGCATTGTGGGAACAGCCTTCCATCACCTGAACCCCCTGGTCTGCACTGCTCTGCCCAAGTTCCAGGGGCTTACATGCTCACACTGTGAGGTAATGAGATAGGAACTCTGGAGCCAAGAATAATTTCCAGGTTTCTGTGGGATCAGTCTGAGCAGGTCCGGAGTGTGGTTCAGTGGAGAGCTTTTGTCCAGCACTTGCAAGGCCCCAGTGTCAATCCCCAACAAGGGGAAAAAGGGGTGGGTAAGAGACAGATATCAAGCAACCAAAGTCCCACATGGTCCCTGGAACCATTCTCATATTCACATTATTGCAGAGTTGGGCAAATTTCCCATAATTAATCCTCGAAAGCCAAGGCATCTACTCTTTCTCTCTTGCTCTTTCTTTTTTCTTTCTTCCTTCCTTCCTTTCTTTCTTTCTTTTTCCATTCCTTCCTTTCTTTTTCCCTCCCTTCTTCCCTCCCTCTGCTTTAACTGCAGGTGCTGAATGTGAAAGATAGTTCTGTATGCCATCTGTGTCTGCACTGAGAGAACAGACTCTTAGTGATGTGTTGGGGCCAGGTCTGCTGCTTGGAACTATAGGCTGTGGAGATGTGGGAGGTGTCAGGATCCTTTCTTTACAGAACATGACAGAATACGAAGTGTCCATCTGAGTCTCCAAGCTCAGGTGGGCTTAGGGCTACTAGAGTCTCACAGAATCTTTTTTTGGCCGCTGGGTCCATCTGCCCGCCCTACATTCTGGGTGTGGTGTTTGTGTGGAGTCTGGTCTCTTAGGCAGACAAGAGAAGAACCACGTTGACTTTCTAGGGCTGAGAATCTTTTGGATCCTCCACTCCCAGCAAGCTGAAGATGGTTTCCCTGCTTCCCACAACTCCTACTCCCAGTCATGAGGGAGGAAAGGTGTGTTCTGCCTCCTTTGGGCACAGCCCACCTAGCCCAAGGTGCCCTTCAGAATTGGAGCTGTTTAGGTCTGTCTCCCTGTACTCTGAAGTTCCCTCTTGCCTCTAGGGGACTTTCGCTAAGCTTTCCTCGGGCTAGAAAGCCCCTACTTCCTCAGACTCCTTGCCAAGGTCTAGCTTTGAGCTGAAGCCCTTCTAGGACCACATTCAGGCTGTTTCTGCTGTCGCCCCCCTACGCAGATGCCACTGGGAACTCCTTGGCAGGCAGGGACGCACATATTGCTTGGTACATGGTTCCTTTTGTAAGCTTTTTTTCCAAGCTGTCCCAAGACACCAAGGAGGTTTTGCGCTAGGGAGACAGTGGGTCCTGAGAAGCAGACAGACCCGGGCTTGGGGGCAGAGGAAGGCAGAGTTGCCAAGTAGCTGGTTCTTATTCTACTCCATGCCTGAGAGCCTTGGCCTCTAGGATGGTGCCCTGAGATGAGAGCAATAGAAGAACATCACCTTGGGGGACACAGAATTCTGCTCCCACTGAGACACATTAGGGGACAGAGTGTGCTAAACAACCTCAGAGGACAATCATTCTCCGCTCTGTTCTGGCAGTGGGTCTGAGACACTGTAGTGCTTACTGGGTTTCCACAGTAATACCCAGAGCCAAATCTCCGGGGACCTGAGGTCACAACCACCAATCTAGGGCCAGGGATGTTCTCCTCAGGGTCTCCAGGCTGCCAATGGCTGGACTGGATGGTGAAATCCCTCAGGTCCACCTAGCTACCCTTGCTGGAGCAGCCTTAGGTGTCTTGCACAGACGGTGCTTCCTGGAGCCAGCACAAGGAGAGAAGAAGTTCTTCAAAGACCAAAGTCACCGCCAATGCCTCTGTTAGGCAACTAGAGGACTATTCCTGGAGAGATCCCATCCATACCAGCCATGGGGCAGTGCTGTTGGTGTCTAATCACCATGGCGGACAGAGGAACAGGGAGGAGGAGTCCCATTCACAGGCTGCAGCAGGCAGTTGCATCAAGAGGAAATCCAAGAGCATAACAGTCATTCTAGCTCCCAGGCGGGAACACGTCATAAGTGGCATCTGAAGGATCCTTCTGCCCATGTGCATCTCAACCAGGGGTCCTGGCACCCACCGACCTGCTGGCAGAACTGGAGGAGGTGACAACCATCCTTGGCACCCTGAGGGGTATAGTAACAGTATCCCCATCTTTTCGGTCCAGTAAGCAATACCTTGCTCTAAGGACAGGGAGCCAGCAGCTAAAACTGACGAGTTTAATTGGGTGGCAGCAAGAAGAGCATGTTCTCTGTGGGAACATGGTCATCCTGCCAAGGTGTCGAGGGCCAGCTGCCATGGCTAGGTTGAGCACAAAGTGACTGGGGTCTGGGTTCCACTGAGGTCAGAGGTCACCACTCTGAGGCTCCACATTGCGCATCTCCCTGGGGTGGCCTCGGGACAGCTTAGGGAAGCGGGAAGCTACTTTGGGCCTGCTGTTCTTGTTCAGTGGTTCTCCAGGCGGGGCGATATCCCTGCAAGACAGGAGGAGACTCAGTTGAAGTAAATGTTGAAATGCAAATGACAAAGGCAGGGACAGGAGGGACATGTGAGACCAGCAGAGGTCACACAGAGACAGGAGAGTGTCTGTCTGGCCAGCTCCAACTGGTCAGTGTAGCTTGAAGAAATAAAATATCCATGTTGCTGTGTAAGCTGCCCCCTAACAGAGTGTGTCTGAGCTAGCTTTAGGGCAGCATGAGGAACCTGTTTTGAGGCTGGAGGTCAGCTCAGCAGCCAGGAACTCTGCCATGCTTCCTTACATCTCCCAGGGAAGCCCCATCCAGAGCCAAAGAGAAAATGCTGCCCAAATCTGAGCACCCAGGGTTGTAACAGATGTGCAGCCAGATGTGCAACAGGGACCTCTGCTGGTGTTCATCCAAGAGGAGAGACAAGGCACGTGCCAGTGTCTGATGACCAAGGCATGGCTCACAGCCCTGTGGGGATGCTGCTGTGTGGCACAAATAAGCCCAGAGCTCAGGCCACAGGTGTGAGCACAGGTGTGAGCACAGCGGACCCTGAGCCTTTAGACTCGGCCACAGCTCAGGACGCCCCTGAGCCCCCCTTGAAAAGAAGAACATAGTGGGACACAGCCTCCAAGCCTTTGCGTGTGTTTTTCCTTTCCAGTCCTATAGGGTCTCATGCTAGCCATCAACCTTCTGCACCCCAGGACAGCCCACAGCCTGCGTCCCTGACCTGGACAAATGGTGGCTACCACTTAAAGCAGAGTGGGGGCGGATGACCTACTGTGTACAGAAAATCACGGGGAAAACCCCTTGCAGTCTCAAGCCTGCTCTGAGTGGATCGTGGGCTCTGTCCTCTTCAGCTGCACCTTCACAAGCAGAGAAAGAGCCTTTTTCTGTAGATGATGAGGAGGAGGCAGAGGCCACTGACACTGTGCACACGGCAGGGCATGTCGAGATGAGGGGGACAGGCCAAGACGAAGGTGGTGGCAGCTCCAGCTCTTCCTGGCAGAGGGATCTTGTGTGTCCCGGGCATTCATGTAGCCTCCTTACTTTCCACTGGCACTTCCTGTGGTTCCTCAAGTGCACCCCAAGGTTGACTTCTCATGGCAGTACTGGCTGGGTCTGCAGCCTCAGTCTGCACAACCTCTCAGCCTCCTTCAGACCACGCATGCCACCAAGCCTGGAGGATTTCTTGTTTAGCATGCTAGCATACAGCAGATATAGCTCTCCTGGGGGATGACTGTCCCCAGTCACCTCCTATTGGTGGTATGCACATGGTGTTGGCTATGGTGAGCAGCTGTTAACAGACTGAGTGATCCGCAGAGCAACAATCACATCAACCAGGCCCTGCCTCCAGATTCCTCTCTAGAGAGGCTCGCAGGCCTCGTATATACTGCCTATATGGGTAGTGCCTGGCAGCAGGTCTCCACCTGCCAGCTTGGGAAGGGGTATGAGAGGGGGACCCTAAAGTCCACATGCTATTCTACTGCCAGTGAGGGAAGAGGGCCTCATCTCACTCAGATCCCAGTGCTGTCCCAGAGAGCACAGTCTTGAAATGACTCCCGGGAGCAGGGAAGACTGCACTCAAGAGCAGGGGGACTAAGCAATGGTCATTGTGACACAGGCCACCGTGGACTTCCAACACGATTGTAGTAGGTGTCTCCAGACATCATTAGAGCTGCACGAGGCAGGAGACCCACTTCCTTCCTGGGGTCGGTGAGGACAGTCGGCTATGAGGTGTCCAAGATGACTCTGAGGCCTTGCTTCTGTGAGAACATACTGAGCCCTGCCCTTCATCTTGTGGAATCACTGGATGTTACCCTTCCCTAAGCCACATGGGGAAGACCGGAGGCCCCAGAGCTCACAACAGGCTCTGACAGGCTTTGTCCGAGACAAGGTCTCGCTGTGTAGTCCTGGCTATCAGGAACTCACTATGTAGATCAGACTGGTTCCAAACACACAGAGCCACCTGCCGAGTCCGTGGTCACCATACCCAGCAGCAGCTGATCTTTGAAGGCAGCTCTGCCCTCGTTCTGCACAGGTCTGTGCTGACAAACATGCAGGCAGCATAGCTACCACTCAGGCAATGTGTGCACACCAGGACACCTAACCCACCCTACCCTCTTCTAGGTCAAGGGCATAGAGATTAGCGTCACCTGTCTGATTTTACAACCTATTTACAACTCTGAGAAGGTGTCTCAAAGTCTTAAGCCACTGTGGATTCCAGCAGAGCCACATCCTACAGTAGGATCCCATAAGCAGGAGAAATCATCTCATGGGAATCAGACCTCCTTAGGGCCACCTTTGTAGAACCAGAATCAAGTAGTGATCAACACACCACACCTTGCCTAGGACTGCTTCACAATGCAGGATTTCTCCTGTGCCCAAGCTTAAATACTTCACATCAGTATCCCAGCAACCGTCAATGCTTACAAATGGCAATTTTGGTTAAAATTGCTTCCTGCCTTTTAATCATTACTTTCTTTTCTTCCTTTGAAATGAGTGGCCAGGCCTCACATCTTCAAACTCCCAGAGCAGGGGCTCTGTTATAAACTGAGACAGAGTGGATCAGTCCTTCATCCAACCCACCAATGCATTCAGGGACGTAGCACAAGGACAGGGCATTTGCCTAATATTTGCAATGCCCATTTCCAGCATCCCTTCTGCAATGTAGAGCTGCTGGGGTCCCAGAGTTGCTAGCTAATGAAAATGGGGCCTGGCACCCCACCAACATGAATTTCCCAGCTCAGCTCTGGCCCCCTTGGGGCTTGCAACTTCTCCACCTGCTGAATTTATCACCAGTTTGGCCAAGACACCTCAGCCCAGGCATGAGAATTCCTTTCTCTGTGGAGTGATATAAGAGTCCTGGAGAAGCCGGCTGTGGAGGAGGGAGTGCTGAGGGAAAGAGAGATCATGGGTTCACATCATTTCAGCAGATCAAGCATGCTGTCACCTGGTTTTGCTTCTGTCTTCCCAGAGCAGGCCTGGCTTTAAAACATGTGTCCCTGAACCGTCCCAGCGACAGACGTGATGACTGCTATGGCTGAGTTCCTGTTGGCGTCCAGGCACAGCTGAAACTGCCTCTGCTTCAGCAGCAAACCATCTACACTCAATGCCCTGCAGCTTGCCCCATGCCCTAAGTGTGGTAGAAGAGATGCTGGACTCAGTCATATGCATGCAACCACAGCTCTGCTGTCACGATGGGCAACATCTCAACTTCCTTGGGCCTTGAGATCTCCTTTAATGAAGACACTTAGCTTTCCTGGGTTTGGTGGCATGGCGCCCAGAGGTGTCTAGTCAGGACCGTACAATAAAGAGGACATCAGTGCCTTTAAGGATGCAGTGTAAGGGCAGAGCACTTGCCTAATGTGTGCAATGCCCTAGACCCCATTTCAAGCACTGTAGAAACCAAACCAGAACCAGAGCAGTAGCCAAAATAAAAAACACTCAGCCTGGTGCCTAGCTCACATGGGTCACTCTGGGCTGCTCCTGTCTGGCAGGTATAGATGCCATCATCCACTCTCTAGCACCAGAGTGCCACCAGAGGGCAGGCCACACCAAGGCCCCACCCAGATGGCAGGCACACAGCCAGGCCACCTGTCTGCCCATGTAGCAGCTTCTATTCTCACTGGCAGGGAGGCAGAGGATGCTCTAGACGGGAAGATCCTATGAACATTATGTCTTCCCCCCAATACCTCCTGATGTCCCCAAGGGTAGCCACTAGTCCTTTCCTTCACGCCACTCTCTCCTCAATGACCCTACCTTGCTCATGTGCCAGGTACCACTTGTTTATACCTTATGCAGGCATCTGTCCCCAGGTTCCCGATCCAATCTGCAAGAATGTCCAGAGGCTTCACAAAGCCCATCTCTTGCTCCTGAGTGTTTACAAGACATTTATTTACTAACTCATAACCCTGTGCTTCTAATTCCACACACCAGCAATGTCACCATGCACACTCCCTCATCTCCATAGCTGCCTGGTTCCACCCCACCCCCCATGCTCAAACTCCTCCCCAGTGTTCCTAGCCCATCCCATTCCCTAGACCACAGGTTTACTGGAACCTGCTGTCCTTGCATGGGCACCTCCCCTCACTATGCAGCCATTCTGCTGTCTCCAGAAGGTTGAATACTCTCAGCCCAGGGCCTTGAATTGCTCCAGCAGCACCAGCATCTGCTTGGAATACGTCAGGCTCACACCCCGCACCTGGTGGAGAGCAGGAGGTACTCTGGGCTGTGTTCCTGGCTGGCCTGGGCTACTACACTGACAGGCCCCAGGTAAGCTGACTGAGCTTGGTCCTCCTCTGAGTGCTGGGACTAATTTGAACCCTTTGATTTCCTAATCGCATATGTGTGAAGTTTTCCTTTTTTAGCAGGGAAGGTAGCTGCTTAAACATCTCTAATTTTCTCATCATGTTTTGTTCATTTTTTTAGTCAAAACAACAGTTTGAATCACAGCAGTCCTGTGGATAATGGGAAATAAAGATTTCTCCTCTTGTTCGTGGTAATTATTTATAATTATCAATAGATCAATCTAGTATTTCTATTCTCCTCACAGTATCCTTCATGGGTTGAGCACAGGGTGGGAAGGTAACAGGGTTTTCATGATTAGAGCACCAATCTATCACCCCACCACACGGTCATGTCACAGGTGCAAACAGAAGGCCACAAGTGCAGCTCAAAGACAGACTGAGGACATCAACCCAGCATGGCCTCATTGTTTCCCATCTATTTCATGCACTGAGACTTAGGGGTTGGCCCTCCAAATCACAGACCTGAGGGAGGTCTACATCAGCCCCTTCAATGTCAATCGGTAACTAGCCCAGATTGATACCTGAGGGCTCCCTCCCTACTCACCACGGGCCACCATTCAGAGGCTGCCCTACATGGACTGTAGCTCCCCCTTTCCCAGCCCACACTCCCATGGCTGCATTTCATTCTTTAATGGCAGGGAGGGCTCCCCAGGACCAGGACCTGAGTCGTGGTGAGTTTTACAGCCATAAAGCACAGGCCTG